GACGGTCGCGAATATATAAATTTAATATGAGATTTTTTTAATATCGAAATATTAATAATATTTCATACAAATCGAAGAATTATCAGATAATCCTAATATCCGTTTCCACGAAAATAAAAAAATAGAAATGAAAATTTTCGCGGTTCTTTAATTTTTCATCAAATTTTTCACCGTAAGCCAGGGGCGTGAGGCATTCATAAAGAACGATCGCGCAATTAGATAAGCAAATCGAATTATTCGAAGATAATCTCATCTTTAAATTGAAATTGTGATGCTCGCAAATTTTATAGCTTACCTATCCAGCGATCGAATTGAACAACGCAATATAACTATACGCGTATTACTTAACTAAAAAACAGAATTATTGTCTATCTCTATGTGTATGTCGTGTATACGATCTGTGAAATCACCGCTTCGTGTGACCAACGATAACGATATAATAATATTCGCATACCATCCGTCGACACTTATTTTAAGGATAAAACGAATATCCCCTTTAATACGTTTATAAGAGCTCTTCTTATTATTTTATCCCGTTTCCCCGTATCTTCCTCCTGAATGTTTCTTTATGTACACACGCTTCGACCAACCAACCAATATTTCTTTCTCTCATTCTCTTTCATTCCTATTTTCTCTCTCTCTCTCATTCATTCTCACATTTTCTCTCGTTCTCTCGCTCTCTCTCGCTCTCTCGTTCTCTCTTTCTGACACTAATACTTATTCTTGTTGTTGTATTTTTTTAAAACCATAAAAATATCAATGCCAGTATACCACCGACGTACGTCGCTAACGTGTATATGTATATATAATAATATGTACGTACGTATGTATGTATAAGTATATACTAAATATATACGAATATCCATAATAACGTTACTTCAATTATCTTTGGTAGTAACACCATGTATAGGTATATATAATAGGTATGTGTATAATGCATCATTTGTTACGTGTACGTACTTCCTCCTAATGCGCTAATTAACTATCCTCTATCGCGACCTACGGCTGTGGCTTCTTATCTTAAGGATCTAAAGGTGCACGACGTAATACAATTGGCTTTATGGATGGGTATATCGAATGTCGAGGTTCTTAGGTGGACGGTGTTTCGGTATAGGAGTTGAATATGGACGTGAATCTAAATCGGGACTAACAACAAGAGCGATACACTCACGAGATTTCTCAGCTCTTCGTCTGAGAGAGTTAAGAAAAAAAAAAAAAAAAAAGAAAACAGAAAGAAACATATCCGGTACAAAAGATCGTTTTTGGCAACAAAAACCGATAAATCCTACGATTGGTGTTGGTACATTTAAGGAAAAATCTGCTACGTTTGCTTTGATTCTTTTTGCTTTCCGGCAACCGCGATAACATGCGTCTAAAGATTCTGCCACGAGAATATATCACGGTTAGAACTAACCTACTTGTCAACGACATTCATCTAGATTTGAAGACAGATCAGTTATTAGAGCTATCTCGCGTCGAGTCCCGCGGCTAAAATGTTAATGACAATTAATGTTACCCGAAATTCGACTCGACAACGAGCCAGGGGGGAAGGATTCGTCTCGTTTAAAAGCGAATCTACAAAAATTGGAGGAACAATACCGATCGATAGAAGTGTGAAAAGGATGACAAGCTTCTCTTCTTCGTTTCACTGGATCCCAATAATCCGAAAATATCACTTTTCAATTCGTTTCTCAAAATTATTATTCACGCACCTCGCGAATATTTTAAACAATGCACTTAACCTCTTCGAACGTAACGAACGACTTCGGTTTCGACGCTGTTTTGTACTTCTCACGCCATCTCGCGTGCGAACCCAGAGTTACTTACATTTTAGGCCATCGACAGATGCGATCCGCGCTTGAACGATTCGGGAGATAGTCATGCCAGAAATATCGTGTAAATGAGATCGGTGAAGGATGGATAAAGGATCGATTCCTAACAATATTCAATAACGACGTTGTATAGCATTAATAGATAGTATAGATAATAGGTAAACGCTAAAACGAAGCTCAGTTGATTGTTTCGGGAGCGAGCACCTCACTCGTTTTCACGTATAATGTCGTTTTTTTTTCGCTAGCTTATACTTGTAAAATTAATTCGAAGGAGCGAGGTGTGTATGCGTGTATGCGTGTGCAACTGCGGAAGTCACCCTCACCTATCTTTCCTATCTTTCTCTTTTTTTCAACTTAAGCTAGCATCCCATCGCCCGTCACCCCACCGCTCGAGACACGATCCCAAATACCAGTCTTTCGATAACCACTTACCCTTACGCGAGTCATAAATCCGTCGAACGATCGATCCTCTTGGATATAGCGGTTCTTTTATTTTCTTCGACTTTTCCAAGGTTTTCCAAGATTTCTTAGATTTTCCACCCTCTTACTTTCGCTTACTACTTTTTTCATCGGTGTTTCTCGATGATGGGGTTCGAGGGAAGGGGGTTCCCATCTTGCTACGATATTTGGAGAGGAACTTGACGATTTGGGTTTGATTTCTGTTCTTCGACGAAGACTTCCGGCAGCTGGATAGCTTCTAGTTCGACCCGTGGCCACTGAACTAATTCTTCGACGTCAGGATTGTCACGAATTCTGTGGAAATATCGTAGCGATGCGAGCGAGAAAAATGATGGGTAAATTTTAAATAAATTTTAAATAAGTCGTTAGATAGAATTCCGAAATGAAATGTTGTTGTCCCTCGATAAATAATATACGTAAAATTGTTCGCGAGAAATAAATTAAACGATCATTATTTGTACGTTTATGTCATTACCCTCATAATTCACCATTCCATCGCCATCCAAATCCGCCTCCTTGATCATATCGTCCACCTCCTCCTCCGACAATTTCTCCCCAAGGTTCGTCATCACGTGTCGCAACTCCTTCGACGAGATCAGGCCGTCCTTGTTCTTGTCGAACACTCTGAGAAACGAATGCCTCGTTTCGTCCACGTTTACGGGAATAATTCGAATCTATTCTAAATTTCAATCTATTTCTAAATTTCAACAATACCTGAACGCCTCGCGCAACTCGTCCTCTCCATCGGCACCTTTCATCTTTTTCGACATCATTTGCAAGAACTCATTGAACTCGATGGTACCGTTCCCATCCTGATCCACCTCGTTCACCATATCTCGCAATTCCGTTTCTAAAATTGAAAAAGATCGGTCAAATGTGAGATTTTTTTTTTTTTTTCTTTCTCAGATTTTATTATTTTCGTCTCGTTCGAGAAAAATTCGCCGCCCCTTTGTGATCTCAACGTGTAATGCACGGTTGTTCATCGTCGTTTCACGCAACACGATTAATTTCCCTTGCAGACGTGTCGAGGAGCGGGTACAGAAGAACTCGACGTGCAGTTAATTACCAACGTTTGCACGTGCGCCTAACCATCACAGTTTCTAGCCCGGGATCGGAGGAAAGGTAATTTTCCCTAAGCTCTTGTCACAGCCTAGTTTTCTACCGCTTAACTCTCGTCGTCGTCTTAGAAAACCTTCAAACTGGGATATTAATTTAGCAAGAAGAGTTTTCGCGAAGTTTGCGTTTCAAACTTCAAACTTTTCGTGTCTGCATCCTACAACCCGTTTAAGAGTCGTGTTATCGTCTATCCCTTGTTTGCGATATCAACGTTAAGCTCTATCGTTCCGTCGCGAAAGAATAAAATAAAATTTTCCACGCTGCTTGAAAAGTAGTAACGTTTTGATTGCAAATTTTCATCAAATATCGTAATTATTTTCACACATTCTCACGAACAGCGGGAGGATTCAAAGCGAGTTCTTATAAATAATGGCAGACGGAATTTGCTGATAAACGAAATAACAAAAATATCGAACTGTTTTCCCAATCTCCCTAAAAAAGTAATAATACTTTGTTCAAATTTAAATCTAAAAGAGGATTTACAATTATTTTCGAGGCCAAGAAATCACGAGAAGTCCATCGATCTAATCCACGAGAGATGATCGAAACATTTAATCTCGTTCCTTTTTCAATGTTGCCAATCTATCGTGTAAACGAAACAGAACAAAGTTTCGTTTACACGATTCTCGCCTCTTTTGCGGCTCGCGTTTGTCAAAATAAAACGATCGTTAATTCGATATAGAATTTCACCAAGGATCATGCGCTAGTAGTTATTAGACAATACGGTGTTTGGTTGGCGGTTTAGATTACCGTTATATCTTTTGGCCGCAAGCGGGCAGACTTTCGTCAGTTTCGTGGCTTCCGGCCAGATCGTGTCCGCCTTCGTGCACACGTGGACGACACGCGGCCGATACACGAATACACTCATTTTTTCCAAAACGATTCTCCAACGTGTTCGCTTACCGGACGGCCTTTGCCCCAAAGATCGCATCACCACGCCGAGCTCCGCCATCGTGATGGTGCCGTCCTCGTCCTTGTCGAACAGCATGAACGCCTCCTTGAATTCTGAAAGAACAGATAAATTTCCCTCGTTGATTCCGATTATAAATCCAGATAATAATATCCTTTTTAACTATAATTTCTCAATTAAAAAATCGAAATGAATTTACATTTTCGAATTCTTCTCGAACGAGTTCTTCGAATTCAATTTCAAACGGTCGTCCAACCGCAGGGATATATACATATACGAATAAGAAAAACTCGAGAGAAAATTTGGCGAATAAAATCGGGGATGCACGCGACACAAAAGTGCTTTTACCCGCATCTTGTTGTCGAGAATTCGCGGATTTAGATGATTCTATTAATCATCGCGCGCGCGTGTGTGTGTGTACGTGTTTCGGTCACGCGTTACAAGTCGCGCAAAACTAGAGGAGATCGCGCGAGAGTTTTCGGGCAAGTGGCCAGCCACGACGAAAGGAGAGCTAGCTCGCCGGCTAGAGAGATGCGCCGTTATAAATTTTCACAACGTCCAACGAGCGGCATCGTGCCGGTAAAAAATTCGCGGACGACAAACGGGATCGTGAATAGTTTACGAGAGAGAGAGAGAGAGAGAGAGAGAGGGAGGAAGAACGAGGCAGAGAGAGCATGCGTTCATTAAAATAGTCCCGTTTGATCCGTCAGACCATCCACAGGGGACAATACTTCCATTGCCATTGTTGCGATTTTTACCTTTTATCCTCTCCCTCTCCCCTCTATTTACCGTCTCCTCCTTCCCTTCCCGCATTCATTCGCTTTTTCTCTTTTTTCTCTGACAACGAAGGCCGTTCGAATCGAACTTCGTTTGCCACCGGAAGTTGAGAAATCGGGCAACGACAAATGTATCGCAATCCCGGCCGAGAATGGATGAAAATATACCCTCGTGTTCCTGATCCCCCCACGAACACCTCGTAATAAACGCGATCTCATCGTTTAGACCGTAGGTAGAACACGTCTCGTCTCACGAATTATTGCGTAGTGGAATATTTCGATCGTGGAATGTCTCATCCCTTGCAAAGGGATTAAATATCGAAGAAATGGAAATATCGATGCGAAAAATTAAACGAGGGATACGAGAAACGAATAAAGAATTTGATATTATATAATAATACGAAAACGAAGAATTAATTAAGATTCGATGAAAGATTGGTAGGTTGTAAATTGGAATGGGTAGCGAGGCTTTCTAGGCGTTTCCGTTTGATCTTATCGTTCGCTGCATTCGCCTTGCGTTTATCATCGGGTAAACACCGGACGTATGCATTAGTATCGTGTGCATATACGAGTGGCAATTTCTCTTTCTCTGGTAAAAATCCGTAATTTCTCGCATGGAGAAATTTATGAAAAAAATTTATAAAAGAGAAATCGATCCAACCTTGTTTCATGCACATATTGGAACATCGAAATAAAATTTCTCCACTAATTTATTCTTAAATATTCTTTCTTGTTTTAAAATAATTAGTTTATGATAACGATACTATTGGATAACGATTGGAAATTAAAACGATCGAATCATTGAATTGAATTTTAAAATACACGAGAAACTGTATTTCTTCGATTCGTCTTTAAAACATCGATGGAATTTATTTAACGTTTTCAAACATTGCTACGGAATCCCGTCGTAATGGAAAAATATCTGCATTTCGAAAAGAATTTTCTATCTTTAAGCGATCATACTTTATCTTGGAAGCAATGGAATATCGAAGTTCATATTCCATTTGTTTCCTCAACATCTACTTTCTATCGATTTTATCCGATCGATCGATCGTTCTTAATGGAATAACAAACCGTATTTTCATTGGCATAAGATGGAATAAATTAACGACGTTTCGTTAAAGATGTACGAAAACCGTTGTACGGTTCCTTCAATTTGCAAAATATCCGAAATATAACGTGTCCGCGAAAAACTCTGTTCATTAGCATTAACACGTTCACGGACACTTGGATTCTCGGTAGAAATGTTTTACAACCGCCAAGAGAATGAAAAATGCGTTTCGTTTTTCGACATTCGAAAAAGAGCAGAGAAATCACTTTACCACGCCAAAGAGGTAAATCATAAATGATAAATTTTGTTTTTAAAATCCACTTACCGGCCACTTGATCCTCCGTGAGTCCATATTCAGACTGAAAGAAGAAAAAATATATATATATATATTTAAAATAAGATTAGAAAGAATTAACGTTTAATTTTAATTAAATCGTTACGAATTTAATAGATATAAACAATTTTCTTTCAAGCCGTCGGTTTATCAATTTTTTTCTCGACACGACAGATGAAAACGAAATTATTCAAGAAACGAACAGATTATGAATCAAGAGATCTACTCGCAGAAGAGCGATCAATTAAAACTGCAACTTCTTTTACGTGTTTTTTATCCTATCTTCTACTTTCCTTTCGAATATCTTGCATCATTCTTTACAAAACCATCTACGATTTAATTATCCAGAAAATTATAGCTCTGTCCACGCGCGTTTTACAAATCACGATAATTACAATCAATCTCACATCTCGACAATCTTTCTCTCGATTAATCCAAATTCGTTCTCAGAATTAGGGCTGGATCACGAATACTCATAATTCGATTAATAATACCTTCAACTACGATAACGGTAATACCAATACGGTCGGCTTATCTGCACGCGACATTGTTAAATCAGTATTAATAGACAACGGATTAACGGAACGCGTGTCGTTAACGCGATTAGAGGAAACACAGGTCGGCTTGGTTTCGCGATTCCACGCGTTTATTCTAGAACAAACGAGGAGGATCGTATATGACCCAAATACATCTCACAAGAGAGACGTACATCTGGCGTATCGGGCAATATCTGTCTGGGAGGAAACGTTGCACGCGCCTTGTTTCTTGTTGCATCGAAAAACGTAAAGGAGAGACATCTTTCGGTGCTATATATACATATAAAATATATTAGGAGAGAAACGGATGACTACGAGAAAGAAGAGGCTTCCTTACATTATTATTAATAATAAACTGTCGCAACCTTGCTTTGCAATATTTCGATGCGACGTATAATCATCGTGGCGTGGGAGGATATAGCGGATGAATGAAGCTGAGAGAAAGATCAGACTGAGTTTGGTTGAGAAACTTTTTGGTTGCATGAACATCTTTGAATATGTAACAATCGATTATCGTTCCAAGTATTGAACAATTTTCATGGTTCGCAGTAATGCGTTTAATTGATCTGGAGAGATTTGAAAGCGTAATGCACGATCGCGTGTCCGATTCGAAAAATCTTTTGAAGAGAAACAGGATTAAACAGGATTCGAGACGAGTTTATTACGCGTCGAAATGAAATTTTCACTGGTGGAAAAACTTGGACAAGAATCTGAAAAACTCTCGCTTCGATGAATCCCTTTCCCGAATAGATTGGTCTTTATTCAACCGTGTCACGTATTCTTCTTTTCCCCGGACAAGAAGAGGTGTTAGGGCGTAAATTCGACTCGAAAAGTCAGGTTTTGCTAGCGCATATTTATAGTGTATCTGCAATCGAAATCGTACACTTTGAATTTCTCGGTTTACACACGTTACACACTAGCATTACGACTTCGAAGAGAACGGATGAAAACCAACTCGAATCGTGGAATCCACACGAGAGCCACTCACGCTTATCTGTCGAATCTGGCCGTCTATGGTGCTCGTTAATCTTCGCAATTTCCCATAGGCGGTCGTGTATTTCTTCTCCGTTTCCGCCATCTCGCTTCCTCACGAATCTCACCCCAAATTTACATTCGAACTTTCCAACGAGATACGTTTCCCCTCCTCTTCTCTTCTTTTAATCTCACCCTTTCGTCGTCGCACGAGGAGGTTGCCTCTCTCAATCGGAAGAAGCACGACTAACACAAGCGGCGAGCGCAAATAATATTATTTACGAGCTGGCGAGCTAGGCAGCGTCACCGCGTGGCGGAGGACTTCCTTCGCCCATTCGAACTTCATTCTTATTTCATCCCTCCTCCCCTCTCCCTCTCTCCTCCTCTCCCCCTCTCCTGTTCTCGAAAAAAACGCGCAACGAGCAATACGCTCGATCATCCGGTTTTCGAGCCCATCTTCCGAGAAGTTGGACAAGCGGCGGTAATTAATCATCGTCCTCCCTTCGAATCAATCTTCGACGACGACGAGTCAAAGACCTCCGCCCGCACGAACGGACGGCGAGATACGACGCACTCGACGCGTTTCTTGTACAACATTTTATCACTCGCGTTGGAATAAAACACTGGCTCGAGACGAGCTTTTGGACAACCTTCGGCTGTTTTTAACTTGTCAACGATTGGCTGGCGATCCTCTCTTTACTCGCCTCGTCCTCGTCGTCCTCTTCCTTTCCACCTCGGGTGGATAGACCATGATTTGTCGATGATCGTCTCGGAATTTGGACGATCGGAGAATCGAAGATCCAAGGTTCGATCGAAGAGACGATAATTCGAGCGCTAATTCAACTTTGAGCTTTAATAAAGCGAAAACGTTTCGAGTCGCGCATAATTTGAGAATGTCGTAAGAGTATTTTGGCGTCTAATTCTCGTTTGCCAATAAGAATCGAGCATTCCTCGAATGCTCCAAGCGTGTATCGTCGTTTCGCGAGGAATAGCGATCGTCGTGTTAAGATAATCGATCGAAGCGCGTTTATTATTATTATTTTTATTTTTAAACGAGCCGCTTCCTTTTTCTTTTTTTTCTCGAGGGAGGAGATAAAACTGTCGAGAGAAACTATTTCTGGATCGTCGCGACGGGGAAAAAAATCACGGACACCCTGACCCGCTTCGAGCGTGAATTTCTCGAAACGGAGGATTATTTTTACGAAATGTTATACGAAAACATTGGGATCGAAACACGCGAGTTATGGCAATTTAAATAAAAACTCGTTTCCGCGTTCCGTTCGATCTCTTATTCGACGCTTGAATCAGCTTCAGGATCGAACATTTGGATTTCGAGATACGTTCGAAATAATCCGAATAAGCTTTGTCCACTTGCATTGCATCCGTTTATAAATAAAACTACGATCAACGATGATAACGGGATGCGAGATACACGGGGACACGTTTTTCGTATTTCGAAACGTTCACGTATCGGGACCCGTGCTACCATCTAACGGAGAAGAAAGATCTAATTCAGCCGAGTGGCTGATCACCACCGCCATTTCTACTGCGCGTTGTCTGATCGGTATTTAGGAGCGGAGCGCGCCTCGTCTGACCACGATCGCCCGTTTCCACTGTTGGCTGACAACGCGAGCAGAGAGAGACGAGCAAAATTTTAATGCTTCGAATTAAAGAGGAAAGTTTCGATGGTGATAATAATAATTATTATTATTATTATTCCTCGAACAAGCGCGGATAATTAATTAACCAAGAGGTTATTCGAAGTAGAAAATTCAACCGTTAAAATTTTACCCAATTGTACGATTATTATTAGTAGACTGTAATAAATCAGGAATAAATGTTATATTTTTGAATCGATCACTCAACACGGTTCGAAATTTTAATTGCCAATTTAATTTTTCGATCTATTAATTTTGATTGAAAGAGAATTTATGAAAGAGAAATTATTATTGTTATTATTATTATACTATTTTTTTCGCTTACCAAATTGATGGTTACGATTAGATCGTACTGCTGCCTCTGCCCCTTCTTCTTGTTCTTGCCAGTCTTGACGGAAGCCGCCTTAGGCGTAACCTTAACTTGTCCCTTCTGAGCAGTGGGTTTCTGAGCTGGTTTCGCTGCAACTTTCGCGCCGGGCGCCACCTTCTGCCCGGGAGTCAGCGGCGCTTTTTGACCTGTCGAGCCCTTTTGGTTCACGTGGCCCACTCCATCTGCTGGTTTGTTGCGAGCCTATCAGCCGAAAAACACCCTCGGTTAGACTCGTCCGTCGGTCGGACAGCGACACTCCTCTATCGATGATTTTTTATTTTTCGCGTGAAAAAAAAGAAACGAAACGAAACTTTTCGAACTCTGCACTCTCTCTAAACGAATCCCCATATATATCTTAACTACTGGACTGCAATCGAAACATCGCTTCACGATGAGATATTGCCCTTTATTATGAAACGGAAGGTGGTCAATTGTCAAAGGATGGAAGGTGATCGGAGATTGCGACTCGTTGTTGAAAAGTTTCCCAGTAGATTGTTGAGGGTATGCGGGCATTAGGAAATTTGCAAAATAACCGTTGTTTACCGATCGTGCTATTATGGCCAAAGGCGAAACTAGGCCATCGCCGTTTACCGCGATCCGCTTTTGTCCCGTTTATAAAGTTATCTCTGATCCCGCTCTATCTACATTTTCGATCTATCCATAAAAACTTATTTACACACACACACATACACACAAACACACAAACGTATACGTAAAATCATCCGAATTTTAATGCATCGGGAGCGAGAAGCTTTTTTTCCAGTTCTCCGCAACATGCGATCGATGCAACTTGCATAATGCATCAAAGTCGAGCCACGAATGCGAGCGTCTTCTTTCGAATGAGGAAGGAGGAGAAGGGGAAAAAAAGAAGAAGAAGAAGAAGAAGAAGAAGAAGAAAAACTCGATTCGTAATTATTCCAATCTTTTGTGTCCACATTTCACGATCGGTCATTTAATCTGGAAAACGAATCTCTCTCTCTCTCTCTCTCTCTCTCCCTATCTGTTCTCTGGAAACGAGAAACGTTTTTAATTCTGGAAATGTTTCCCGATACAGGAGCTTCGTAATCGCATGGAGGGTGGAAAGAACAGTCCGTTAACGAGAAACGAGGGGGAGAAGAGACGAGGTATCTGCCTTTTTTCCAACGAAATTCTCAATGAAAATTCGTTTTTCCCCGAGCGGGATAAAAATCTCGAGGGCGAACAATACCCCTTAATCACAAACGAAGAATCCGAGCAAGCGTTGAATCAACATTTCGGCGGGGAGGAGGAGGAGGAAGAGGGATGCATCTGACTCCATTGTTCACGGCTCTCTGCTAATGACACGCTACTAGAATGATCCATGGTAATTTCCTGAGATTTCACCCATTGCTAATCCACGCTCTTCTTCTTCCCCCGGGCCCCGTTTCCGTTCGGATATTAATCACCGGATGATAAGTTTTTCCGCCGCAATTTTCCAACCGTCGATCCTTTCGTCGTTCTCCTTTTTTCTTCTTCTTCTTTTTAATAATACAAAATTGTTAAGTGAACGGACAATATCTGGATGGAATACCATTGGGAGACATCCAGATGAAAACGAGGCGAGTATCGAATGTCACGTCGTTATAAACGGATGAGAGAAATCTACGAGTTCCAAATAGATCGATCGTTACCGATCGAGGGAGGGGAGGATCTTCGGGAAGAATCCCGTGAGAAAATTGATGGAAATCAGAGAGAGAGAGAGAAAGAAAGACGAATCAAATAAACGTTTGGAAAGAGAGAAACGAAAAAGAAAAAGGCGATGGAGGTTAAAGATAAAAGTCTTGATAAATCGAGATATCTTCAAGGAATGGAATTTAATAATTTGACTTGATAAAACTAAGGTAAGGTAAGTGACAAAAGTTCGTCGACCGTTTGCCCAATTACTCGGTAAGGTAGGCTCAGATATAAATATAGAATGACTCAATTGGTATTGGACATTCTAAAAATATCGCGGGTTTATTCAAATAATAATTCAGCCGGAGAGATGGCATACCCAGCGTGGGTGGGACTGACAAGATAATTATAGAGTTTGCCGCGTCTACCGCGTTCTTACGAAAACCAGTATATCACCGGGCTGAAAAATCACACGCACAGAACGAAAACTGCATCTCGTTGTCGTTCAACAATTTACGCAACGCCTAGCAATAATAAAATTTTCCGCATTTGAAAATAACGACGCGAGTCGAATTACATCTGTTACGTAATCTGCGTCTTGTCACGCTCTTTGCGGGAAAAAGAGAAAGAGACAGAAAGAGAGAACAATTCATAATAAATGTTGTTAATATACTGGATGAATTTTCGAAAAGGAATTTTAATCATCCAGCGATGATACAATATCTGACAGTACAGTCGGTTGCAAAAACGTATCCGCATACTTTACGCGAATTTAAACAATTTATGTACATATATTTTCAAAGTCGATAATAATTTTGTTTTATGCGAAAACATTGTGAATATTGTGTAGACATATATATCATGCTGATATACATCATGAAGACGTAAATCCAACCGATAGAAAATGGAGTTACATAACTTTATATAACTTTGCGTTATTTTATATATTAACCGGTACAAGTTATGTACTATTGTGAATTAGAGCCAATCCAAACTGAAACGTATAGAAATATATAAGAATATATTCCAAGAAAGATGTTATTTTTTCTTTTAAATCATCTCTAAATCATCGAAAAATAATTTCCATAATTCCATCATGATCTCGTTTGAACCATATATAATACTTTTTTATCGATGGAACCTTATTTTCAGGGGACAATATTAATTCTTCCCTCCTTTTTTTTAATAAATATCTTCGCAATAAAACGAAGTAATTATAAAATTATAAAATATTCAAGATTCAATGCTCTGTCACTCCTGTTAAAAAAATATATCCTCGAAATCGCATATATAAAATATGGAAAAATAAAAAATTTGATACCCTCAGAGAAGAGATCTTTTAAAATATACTTTTGCGACCGACTGTAACCGTAACAATTTTGTTTATCACACAGTTGGCCAATTCCAAATTTCGCGAAACACCGGATAATTCTCTCAAGGAATAATAATTCCACGAATTTCACGAGGG